TGCCTCGGCTCGCCGTGGAAACAAAGGGCGTGGGTTTGTCACAGCAGAATCGGCTCTAGCAGTTGTTTTGCGGGCAGTTTTCAAGGCTCTGGTTGTGTCAACAGGAAGAGCACAAATATCTCCACTTAAGGACGCGGCCTCCTCCTTTTTTTCTTCAACTAGATGACTCGAACAAACCAAATTGATCCAGCCCCCGCGGGAGGAACCCAGGCTCGGAGTTAGATTGGCCCCGTGTCAGCTTGACTTTGGAAAGCTTGCTGCAAGTGACGTTGGCCTCGTTGCCCGACGAGAAAGCGCCGCTTCGGCCATGACTGCCCACGAGCATTAGCGCTGGGAGCTCAGGCTGGGGACCTGGGCCAACCCAGCTGAAGTTTGTAACTGCACCCTGGGCTGCCCCGATTAAATTATGTCTTTATCTGTGCGCACAAAGAATATGGAGTATGATTTAAACGAGAAAGTGCCTGTAATGGGCACAGGGGCTTGTACACAGTAATTCATCTTCTGTAATTCTCACTATTAATTCTCATTATTAACTATTTATTGTTCCCTTTATTATAATTTCTTAAACTTCAACCTGAAAGTCAGGGACTCTGTTTATAAGCTGTATATTCTGCATCCACAGAGTTCCCCTCACACGTGAAAGGGATAAGGATCTTTAAATTGTGATGAATCAGAAATTGGTTTGGGATTCCTTGAGGAAACTATGAGCTAGCTAACCTTTGATCTTGACTGATTGTTTACCCCTATTACAACTTGAAATAATATTGCTCAAAAGTGGCCCTCATTGGCTTGTCACCTTTACAATAGGGGTTTTATGTTCTTTATGATGAATGACTTTTAAAAATAAGGTGCTTAAACATACCACACTGAGTCTCACTGCAATGAACAAATTCAAAGAGTTTCCTCTATGCCTGTATCCCTTTTTGTAAAATATAAGGGTTGAGTTAGCGGTAGTGTCCCAAGCCAGGCCATACTGTGGATGGGTAAACTGATTCTCCATCACAAACTCCAGCTGTTGGGAGGGTGAAAGGGGAACAGAGCTGCACATTGCAATTAGGGCAGTGGGAGATGGGACAGCAGGCCCAGACCCAGAAAAAACTCACCCAAAGTATATAATCTCTGACCTGTCCAGCCCTAGATATTAAGAAGTCTATGTGAGCTTGAAACATCTAAGTCTGAAAAATATGTCTTTGCTTTTTAATCTGATAATTTCGTCCAGTATGAATTTCTCACTCACTCCAGTGTATGTACTTATTGTAAACTTATATACATAATTTTATGTACCTGCATTTATTAATTTATAAGCTGTCATTGTTAATTTTACGTGTTGGCTAGGCCATGGTGTCCAGTTTTTGGTCAAACACCCATCTAATTGTTGTTATGAAGGTATTTTTTAGATGTGATTAACATTTTAAAAAGTACACTTGAAGAAAAGCAAGTTAGCCTCCACAATGTGGGTGGGTCTCGTCCAATCAGTTGAAAGCCTTCAATGAAAAAACACACTGAGGTACCCCGAGGAAGATCGAGTTCTGACTCCAGATTGTCTTTGAACTTGAACTCCATCATCAACTGTCCCTTCAGTTTCAGCCTGCTGACCTAGCCTGCAAATTGTAGATTTGATCGCCCCCACAATCAGGTGAGCCAATTCCTTAAGCTAAATTTCTGTGTATATGTGTATATATATGTATATGTATATGTATATGTGTATATGTATTTCCTGTTGGTTCCATTTCTGTGGAGACCCCTAAGACACAAACTGTAATAAAGCCACACAGTCATTTCACCTCAACAGCAGTTCATGCACTAGAAAATGAAAACAACCAATTAATATACAAATTTCAACATCGGAAATTTCAATTTACCTAAATAGAGGCATAATTCATTTTGGAATTCAATTATGTTTAAAGAATCTGTTACTCTCATTAGAAAAACAACTATTATAATGGATATCTTTGCAGTGCAAAATTGTCCTCATCTGATCTCTTCACCAGTGAGAAAAATCCAGCCTCCGAATCCGTTGCCTCTGGGGAAGATGCTCAGCAAGTTCTTTTCACAAATAGCAGCCATCAGAATTGCCTCTTCCCACTTTGCACAGAATTTATTGCAAAACTCGGAGCCAAAGTGCTCAAAGCAGAAGGACAGATAAACAAATGAAGGAGCTTCCTGAGGCCGGTGGGGCAGGTGAACCCCAGTCTCTCCTGGATCGGTCCATTCATGAGCTGACAGAATTTTAACCATTTAAATATAAAATTTCAATAATTAAAAAAAAATACAATACCGATTCAAACATAAGCTACGTTATTTCCTCTATGAATGGGGAAACTTAAGCAACTGCCAGGAGACAAGGGGAGAATCACTGTCACTTAGTCTCCCTTCTCTATTTCCATTTGGAAGGAGCATCGGCTGCTCCCTCTCCTAAAGTCGTGGTGTTTTTTTCATGAGGCCAGGACAGCACTAAAGAATGTGCCCATCGTGCAAGGCCCACGAGCCAAGGCGATGGCCCATCAGTTAGGACAGGGTCCTTTCACAATTAGGGAGAAAGGACTGAAATCACACTCTGTTTCAGCCCCCTGCCGCATGCTTCTGACAGCACACAGACTTACTCTCAGCTGAAGTGTCTGTTTTGGCGTATTCTAGTGTGGGGCGAAAGCCTCCCTATCCAGGCCACGATTCACAGATAAAAACAGAATGAACTCAACACCACGGTCTAATTACACAAAATATTGAGACACTGTTCTTGATTAATTTTCACTAGAAAGAGCTTCAAAACATTTAATTGCTACTTAACACCTGCATGTATTGGACAGGCATCAACAGTGGCGACTTTCTTATTTTTAAGCATTTAAAAACAAAAAGCTTTTCAATCTAGAAGCCCCACAGGGACCCAGTTAAGAGTGCATAGAAACTAGGTCATGGCTGAGAACAATGGATGGTCAAATGGAGAAAGTTCTAGGCTTTTGTGCAACAGAACTTCCGGCCTCTCTAATTCCTGGAGTCCCTTGTATGCTCTGGTGCTTGTTTTCCTTGGCAGAAGCCAAATACAACTTTAAAACAATAATGAAAGTGAAAAAGACCACAGCTTCCCTCCTCAATGTTGCATTTTTCCAGTCTTGCCTACCCAGCTTTCCTTTCATCTTGAAATGTCTTAAAGAATGTTATTTGCAGTAATTAAATTTCCTTAAACAGCTCTTCCTTCTCTTTCCAATTCTGCTGCAAACCTTCACTCCCTCTTTCCCACTCCCATCCTCTAGAAAATCTTTTCAGGTTACCTGGAGACATAATCACCTCCTCCCTAGTCTCATCTCTTCTACAATTACTTCTGATGGGAACTATGTCTGATATTGCTCTCTAATCATTTTCAGGGTTAATATAGTATTGCCCCAAAGGAACTTTAAGTTCCTTGACCTAAAGTAGCAAGGCTGGTGTTTCTTTTGAAGAGTCTACAGTACTTAGTGTTAATAGAACAAACGAACGGTAAGCCCACGTTGAATTGAACTCTCTTTCCTTGTCAGCTCAACCTCCTTGAAGTTCTCAGCTGAAATTGATATTAGAATGAGAGTTTTTAGAATTGAATAAATCAGACTTCTCTGAGTGTCACTGAAATGCTTTGAATAAACCCACAACCAAGGTTTTTTGTATTATCAGTAACCTTAGTTTTTAACTCCAGCTGTGGTAGAATGGTACCCCACTTTCCCTCCTTTTAGTAATGGCCATTTTTTATAGTATGGACTCAGGTCCTATCAGCATAAATCATCCAAGATGAAGGCAATTGTGTGTAAGAAAACTGTCAACTTCCATAATGAAATCATCTATAAAAATAATTTTAAAAATACAGATCCTTCAAGGTTAGCAGTCCCTGGGAAAAAAGAGAAAGACCCTATGAGTGAAAAGAGGAACTGAGGAAGTGTGGGGAAAGAATATTTTCCCCACAAGAAGCTCCTCGAAAAATTAAAAATAGAACTACCACATGATCCAGCAATTCCACTTCTGGATACTGATCCAAAGGAATTGAAAACACTGACTCAGAAAGACATCTGCACCCCCATATTTATTTCAGTATTATTTACAATTGCCAAGACATGGACAACCTAAGTGCCGGTCGATGGATGAATACATAAAGAAAATGTAGTACATATGTACAATGGAATATTACTCAGCTGTAAAAAAGAAAGAAATCTTGTTGTTTGCAACAACATGGATGGACTTTGAGGGTGTTATGCTACATGGAATAAGTCAGACAGAGAAAGGCAAATACTGTACAATCTCACATGTACA